ATTGTAAAAACAAAGGATATCAATAAAAGTCTTTAAAAAAAAGAATGCAGTCTATCATGGCTGATTGAAAACTCTCTGACATCCATCACAGCTATGATCTGCTGTCCCCCACATACAACTGATGTACAAAAACCCTCTTATTTCTTTGTTCTCTTGCTGTCTAACAAGAACAAATGCCCACACTGATCATTTTAGCTCTACAGTTGCCTTTGATACTGGTGATCATGACACTTATTTTTCAATTTTTAAAAAAAAAAACCTTTACACATTCATGGCCATTGTTGTGATGGGCAGAGCCACTTTCTAGCAAAGCCATTTCTCACAGATGGTACTGTGGTGAACTCTCAGGTCCTAGCCAAGTGAGACACCAATAAGATATAACTGGTGAATGTTTAATTAGATGAGACCACAGTTATTGTGTTGGATAGGACTTGACATTTCTTAAGATCGTGCTCAGACCACTGTGGTTGCCTCAGCTGATGGAACCCTACTCCTCTTTGCTACAAAGGTCACCATCCAGAAGTCCTCACTGCTCTCTGACATTCACTGACTTCAGACTTCTCAGAAAGCAGCTGTGACCATGGTTTGTCTTTTTAAAAAATTGTTTGGCACGGTTTCTGTGACTTATCGTTCAGGCCTCATCACAATTATTCATGCTTTGGCAGTATCCTAGCTACAGTCACAGTACTCTTCTTGGGCTAACATTGATGGTTGTGAAGCCCCAGCTAACATAGAACAAAACATCTCATCTCTCTTTGGGCACTGGCTACTGCATGCTCATGTATAAGGATGTATGGTTAAAAGCAGCATGCTAGCTAGCCAACTATCAAATTTCAGCCTCATTGAAGGCAATAAAGAAGACTGGATAGTATAAAACCAAACCAAAAAAAAAATCATGCCATCATTTATACTTGAATCTGGAAAGTGTCCAAAGATACCTTCAATACCTATTGTCTTTTTTGCCTTTTCTCTGTATCCCCAAAGTTTAGCACAGTACCCGGCACATAACATCTTAACAGATGCTTTTTGACTTGACTTGACCCACTCAGAGATGTGCTTAGACACATGTGTAAGCTCAGCAACTCATGCTGTCAGGCCCTTGGGAATAGGAAGAAAAGGGGGAAGACTCCAAGGACCTCCTCTGCCAATACTAAAGATGAAGCATCTTGTGTTTTTACTATGAAAGTGCTGCACCTTCTCTGGAGTTTCCACAACTTGTTTCTGTCCTCATTAATTGATTTTAGGTTACTTTATATGTAACAATATCTCTTCATAAGAAGCTTCAGAGCAGCTGGTGATAGCTTCAGTGCTATGCATTTAAGTATGGAGAGGAAAGGATATTTCAAAAGGATTGAACATTCCTTTGTATCTAGGGTAGAGATCAGGAGTTCTTATTTTGGGGTCCAAAAGCCCCTTAGAGGTCTTTGGATAGATTTCAGAGGGTCTGTGAACTTGGATGACAACCTCCCCCCTCCAAATTTAGCATGTCCTTCAATTAGTTTAAAACAATTTTCTGAGAATGGGTTCGTAGCTTTAACCAGACTGCCAAAAGTGTCCAAGACACAAAAAAGGATAGGAATTCTAGGGTCTAGATGGTTCAAATGCATTAGCCTAAAACTCAAGACCCTCCACTATCTGGCCCCAACCTACCTTTGTAGCTTTCTCTCAGGCTAATTTTTCTCATATATTACAAATTCCAGGAAAATACATTACTCATTATTCCCCAAATGCATTGCACCCTTCCCCTACACTTGATTCATCCTACTGCTCCCTATCCCTAAAACACCCACCTCTCCCCTCCTATTTAATATCTACTGAAATCTCACCTATTCCTTAAGGCTCAATTGAAATGTCAACTCCTCCACATCTCCATCCCTGATCCCTCCCACTCCTGTCTCATAGCACTTATCATATTCTAATGTATACTTTCCTGTGTATATACCTTATTATTCTCCCACTAAACTATAAACTCCTTGAGACCAAGTATCCAGTCTGCTTTATCTTTGTATTTCCCTGAGTCCTAAAAATTTGTTATATACATGAACGAATAGATGGATGGATGAATGAATGGATGGATGGATGGATGGATGGATGGATGGATGGATGGATGGATAGGTATTCCTGAACTTCTGAAAAATGAAGTTGCTTAAAATTCTTTAATATCTGGAATGGTATCCATTTCTGTAGCAATTCAAGTACTTTGTGTCTCCTCAATCCTGCTTAAAAAATAAAACTCTTTCTCTGACTGATCCCAACTGACTGATGATTCCATTACTTAAGTCCACTCAGCATTCAGAGGTACCTTAGATATTACTGAGTTCAAGGACTTTCATTTTGTAGTCGAGGAAGCCAAGGCAAAGAGAGAATTAATTTGTTAAAGGTCATACAGGTAATTAGTGGCAGAGATGGAACTAGAACCCTTTCTCCATTGTCTTAATCCAGTCAGTGCTCTTTCCACTACATCCTACTGTCTCTCTGTAACAAGTATATGAACTCATTTTGTGAGATGTACTTGATATCTTGCTTCTTTCAGTGTCCTTTGGTCATTTCATTATGTTAGATTTCCCCAAGCAATTTGTAAACTTCCAGGACAGAGACCAGGCCTTTTGTCCTTTTGCATTCAACAGCAGCACCTAGGACAGTGCTCTCCACATAGTACCCTCTGACTAGACTGACCAGACAACTCTGTATCACTTTATAAACCCTTCAGATCTCCCCCTCCCATGCCACCAGCTTCCCCTCAACATCACTTAAACTTGATATGCAGTCTTCAAGGGAAGACTTTGCCTATGGCAAAACTCAACAAATAGCACACTTTTCGGAAAGCCCAGCTAACCAGTAACAAACTAACTAGCCTTCAAAGCAAAGTATCAGTCTTTAAAATATTTTGAGTCTTTCTCCTGCTTGATTGGTAAATTCTTTGTATTAAGTTGAGAAATAGAGTTCTTATTTCTATCATTGGATGGTAATCCAGAGTTGTATCTGATGGACACATAAATGGACAAAAATCACTGACATTTACTTCTTCATATTTCCAAAAAATATTTCCCTTCCTTCTCTCTTTGCCAAGACATTCATCCATGCTCTAGTTATTTGCCATGTTACAGGGTTTTCTGGATTCTCTTTCTTTTTTGGAGTTCTTCCTCACCACCAATACAGCCTTTATTCTGACCATAAACATCATTTCTTTTTTGTGCACTGCCCTGTTTCTTGATTTTCCCCCTCTGCTCACAGAAAACCTCATATTCTTCCCCAAACATTTCCATTTCCTCAGGTATTACCTTTGGCTTCCAACCTTTTTTATACCTACCCTATATACCAGAAGCTATAAAAACCTGGGTTTCTGTTCTTTCTAGGGTGGGGGGAGGAGAGGGGGAAGGGTCTTCTCCACTTGTAATCCTCATACATTATTTCCTTTATGTTGATGTACAAGTACCTCATGGAAAGGAATCATCTATTTAGGTAAGAGCTCTGTCATTTGCTAGAGCAGTTTTATTAATTACACTGTGCTATGCAGCCCTGTGGCACAAGTATTAAATAATGATAGCTCTTGGACCAATACATTTTTTTTCTTCTTTTAAAGTGACAACTTCAGCTGAAAATGCATAGGTAATTCAATAGCACCCTACTCGGTAATTCCAAAGTAAGATAAAAAGCAGTATACACTCAACAGGTAGATTTCAAAGTAGAATTAAAACAGATGCCTTGCTATCACAGTGGTTTCTAATTTGAAGAAATGAAACATCATAGTAGCAAGACACATAAAGATAAAGAAAAGTTTCTTGTTCTGGGTACCAAATCCCAGAGATAAAATTTTCACTTTTCCCACTTTCTAACCAGTTCTTAACCAACACACAAAATTAATCTTTTCCTCATACCCACTCACCCCAAAATGACAATATCAAACAAATTATAAGAAATCTGGACAAATACTGGTTAATATCTTTAGTGTTCTGTAAATTTCCTATTACATCAGTTTCATGATTCAGCATTTACCATTTTGATTATTTACAGTAATATATAGTGCAATAACACCAGGTTTGTACAGGATCCTGAAAGGTAAGTTGTTGTGGTACACAAAGGATGCCAATTGGCAAATCCATTACTATTTAACTCAAGAAAAATGATGAGAATTTAGAGATAATTTTATCACCATGGTTCGAAGGTATAAATTTTACTCTTGCTTAAAATTAATAGCTTTAAAGTATAGGTTACTGACTTTGGTTGTGGATGACAAACAAATGTATAGACCCAAATTGAAATTATAAGGCAAATGGCATAGCTAAGTGAAAATAAAATACTATTAAATATGTTATCTAGAATTGTGCCTCTTCCTGACATCTGAAACTTTAGAGAAACTGGGAAGGAGTTCAAGAGCGTTGGTAATTCCAGGTTCATGGAGGGATATGTTGTGGCATAAGGAGAACACTTACAGAATCAAGAAGGAGCGTGTGAGCACAGAATATAAAGGAGTTGGGTAGAGGGAAAAAAGAAACGTCCAGCGTTACTAGTGAATAGGAAAACAAGGGGGAAGGGGGGAAGAGGGTAACCTAAGGGAGACAGAGAGCAGACTTGGTAGTCCGGAGTGAGTTTGAAACGAAATAGTGGGTGAAGGGGCATTCTCTGAGGTAGGAATGGGTGCGTGGGAGAGATGCTGCGGGAGAACGTGAGTGAGTTCGAGAGAAAGGAAGGGGAAAGGAGAAAAGAGAAAGAAAGAAACTCCCTTTCCATCCCAGAACACTCCGGTACCTGAGCTCCCCTTCTAGGGTGCCTGGAGCACCTGGTGCGCAGCAGGCAAGGAAAGAAAGAAAACTAAAGGCTTTTCCGATTGCTTGCCAGCCTGCCCACCGCGGGAGCAGGAGAGCCCAGTGTCCGCGGTGGCCGCTCGGTACCCCGCTCTACACACCACACCCTGGGGAGATCGATGCCTGGAGGGAGGGAGCCCAGGCAGTGGGGGGAAGGGGAGGGCAGGGGCAGAGGCAGGGTCCTGGGCAGCTCACCAGACAGCAGAGCAGGAGTATCGCGGAGGGGCGGCCGCCGAGGCCCGGGGGGACCCCGCTAGTCCAGCCCCTTGGGCTCTCCTCCTCCTCCTCCTCTTCTTCCTCCCCGCTGTCTGCCGCGGGCCGGGGGGACATGGCTCTTGCTCCCGGGCCAGGGCAGTCCTGATCCGTCGCGGGCGGCGGCTGCTGCTCGTCCTGCCCCGCGCAGCCCGGCTCCATGGGGAGTCAGGGGAGGAGACCGCGAGGGCCGGCCGGATCCGAGCCCGGAACAGGGTCACCTGGTGCAGAGCCCGGCCCTGGGACCGGCCCCAGCTGGAGGCGCCACCTTCTCTCTCCCCGCCCTCCCCGCCTCCTGCCCCGCGCTGGGCCACCTGCCGCCGCGGCGCCGCGGCCGCAGCCGCCACCTCCGCCCCCGCAGCAGCGGCGGCAGCAGCAGCGGCGGCGGCGGCAGCGGCTCCTCCCTCCCGCCTTCTTCCAGCCGGGGGGGCCCTCCCCTCCTGGCTCTAGTCGATTGGGAAGGTGCTGGTCCCTTAGGGCGCCCGCACACGCTGGCCCTTGGGTTCTGCTCCGGGGTCCCCAGTCCCATAGACTCGGTGCGACTCCGTGCCAGGCTCGCTCCCTTCCTGGGCGAGCTTGCCCTCTCTCCAGAGCTCTCAACCTCTTTCTTTCTGTCTCTCGTTATCGAAACACCTGCGGGGGGCGGCGGGGGGGGGGGGAGGGAGGCGGCGTCCAATGAGGCTAGAAATTTTGTTTCCTGACCATCTTCTCCACCTCCCACCTCATCCACCTGGAAGGATGGGGATCCCCCCCATAGACTTTCACGCCATTCTAGTCATTGTAATTCATCTTTTGTCTTTCTGATTGGGTCCCACCCTCTCTGCCAATAAGAAAAGGGACACAGGACTCTTAGATTCAAAGGTACACACATTCGAGTCAGTGGTGCCATCCTGTTTGCTTTTTAAGTGCCAAGCTATTGGCTCAAAAAGCTGGTTTGTATTTGATTTGCATTGCTGTGGAAGTTCATGAGCCCCTAGGTCCCACTTTGGACATAAAATAAGTTAATTAGTTCAACTCAATTTTACTCAAACCCCCAATTAAGGGTGTTACGCCCCCTGAAATACACACACGATTTTAAAACAAATTTAATCACATTCCTAGAATTAAGAGAGTGGCGAAGGCAGTTAGAAATTGCTACTCACCAGCCGGGACTACAATGCTGGGAGTGCCCTAGCTAAGAGTATGTCTGCACCCTGTCCACATATTGCAGCTCTCAGAATACAGTCATTCATTCCTTGAGTTGTCTGTCTCAAGCCAGTGAGCTGCTTCGCTGCTGCTCCTGCTAGTCAGAAAGTTAATACTCCCCCAGAATCATTAGCAACTGCCACTAGTAGGATCATGCTTATTAGTACTAATAATAGATCCAAAGTCTGATATAAAACAGTTCGTTACCCTGGGGATTCAAAAATATTACAGGTCAAGCCATGACCCCTGCAGAAGAAAAAAAAAATAAATTTACACTATTACTACTAAACAAATAAATCCCACAGCGGCAGAAACCTAGGAAGGTCTGTAATGTTCTCCATTGCCCAGGTAAGGGGAGTGACCACTTGGTAATTCTAGGACACTTGTGGTCCAAATAAGAAACTTAGGGCATGTATAGAACAGCCCTTAATCAATTTCATTACAAAAGCTTACAGCTTAGATCCCATTATTTCAAGTTCATGTGGTATACAGAAATGAGCACTGGATTTAGAAAGAGAAGATACCTGCTCTAAATTCCAGGCCCTTCCACCTGTGTGACTTTGGCTAAATGACTTCCTCTTTCTGGCCCTCAGTTTCCTCACCTATACAATAAAGATGATGTTTACTGCCCCTTTACACTTTAGAGCCTATCCAGGGAAAGCAAATCATGGAGATAACATAGCCTACATTGTGATTTCACTATATTAAAATGTGTTTTGAGGTTCTTTATGTGACATGTTCTGCTACTACTTTTGTTCCCCTTTCCTGGAGTTGACACAAATTTTCTAAGAATGTATTTCTGGTCTCTGACTCTGTCTTTGAGAATTTGAGAATCCATCTTCAGTCCTCAGCAATCGTTTCCTCATATTTTCTAGAGTACCAATGATTTGGTGATTTTAAGTCTCCTTGGGCCAAATGAATTTGGAGAAGAAACATTAACTAGTATTGGAAGACAAAGTTGCCAAAAATTCATAATTTTTCTTTGTTTTCAACTCAACATCTTAGCCTTTGTCCTTTTAAGTTTTGCTCCTAATTTGACCCATAATTGAGTTCAGTTCAACAAGGATTTTTGATTCATCCACTAAGGGCCAGGAACTGTGCTAAGCTCTGGGAATAAAAAGACAAAAATAAAATAGCCCTATCCCTCAAGTAACTTACATTCCAATAAATTCTATAAAACCACTTTGTGATTTTATTAGAGGGGGAAATGGTCTGCCCATAAATATCTCTCTGACTAGCCCATAAAGATGTCCAAAATTCATCATTAGGGAGAGGTTTCCTTAGGATGTGGCATTTAAAAAAATTAAATGTTAATATTCCTAGGACAAGTGATGTATCAGTCACAAATACCTTAGCATGGATTCATTTATCAGATCCTTTTTACCAGGATAGCTAGATAAAAGCAGAGAGAGCCCTGCAAAGACACCCTCAGATGGCAGCAGAATCTGGTGGGCAAAGTTGGACAGATATGTCTAGATCACAGGAAAGACAGGCTCAGTTTCCACGAGTCCTTGGGCATGCAGAGGCTAACATGGCAGCACATGACAATGAGGCAGAGTATCAAGAGAGATGAGTGCTAAAAGGGGAGATGGGAGAAAAAAGATTGGATAGGATGACCTCTAAGGTTACTTTAGAGATCTAGATGCTATCAAGCAATGATTCAAATTCCTTTGTAAGGACAAATGTCCTGCTAACACATTGTGTGTGTGTGTGTGTGTGTGTGTGTGTGTGTGTGTATGTGGGTGGGTGTGGGTGTGTGGGTGTGTGGTACTTGTGCTCGCCTCAGCTAGCACTACCTGTGAGTCTAAGAATATTTTTAAGGTGAGAACCAATTCCTGAGAAAATAGAATGTTCCTAGGGTATAAAGTCAACTCATCTTGAGATTATACGAGATAGGATTGGTTCAAAATGAGAAAAATTTTATAAAGATGAGGGAGACCTTTCTATCTTTCAACCTTATTTTTTCTTACCTGGAGCTATTTCCCCATTCCTCTTCCTTTCTCTAGAACTCAGTTTTTCCCATATGCAGAATTCTATGGACCTCTCTCCCTTCCTCCATCCTATAGTTTCAGTTATTCACAATGAAGATGTATGAACCATGACACTTGCCTTAGATATCAAAATGGAAGAGAAGATTACTATTAAGCAACAAACCACATCCAAATTGGAAACCATTGCTATAGTTTCTGCCAAAGATCACCTTTGGCATCTAACTAAATCTTGTAGACCTGTTTCCATTTTTATAATTTCCATTTCTCCTATGATCTTTACCTTCCAAATATCCATCCTCAGTCTCTGCTTCCTTTACTCTTCACTTCCCTCAATCACCAGAAACCACCATTCTTTTCCCCCTTAGACTGTTCCGTCAAATTCTGGACTCCAATTCCTAGTTTTCCAGGCCTCAGTTTCTCCCCTGAGCCTGTCTTTCTGGTCCTAAAGGGCTCCCATAAGAGCCAGATAGGTCTTGCTTTACTAGAAAACTAGTAAAACTAGAAAACATTCTAGTAAAAGAGTGGATGAGTTTGGGAGGCCGGGGGTGGGGGGAGCCTTTTTAAAAGGATTCCTTATTTTTTAGGGAAACTATGAAGATCTTTGATTCATTCGATATGAAGAAGCCCCAGTCTGTTTTGAAATGAGATCTATTTCTGGGCATGTCAAAAGAAATGCTACTGCTTTTAGTTATTTTTGGATCTTTGCCCTTCTGAATAGGTGCATATTCAGCTCAGTTCTCCCCTCCATGCTGGGAGAAACTAGGCAGCTTTCCTTACCCTATTCTTCCCCAGGGCTCAGGAGCCATTTGCCTCCTAGAATTGTGCTGCTTTTGGGCAGCAGCCAACTGGAAGCACTGACTATACACACATTTTGTTTGTCTAGTAAGAGGGAAGGAGAAGGGCGTGCCCAGCTGAGCCCTTTGCACAGGTAGGGCCAAGAACTGGAGGATATCAGAAAACCACATTTCCTCATTCACAGCAGTCCCTTCTGTACACCAACAGCAGCCAACCTATGCCATGTCAGGTTGCAGAAGGTGTACCCAAGGAAGTGCCTCACGCCCTTTTGTTCACTTTCAATGGTGTATTGTTTATGCGTGTGTTCAGTCCCTCACTCAAGACAAAATGACTTCAGACTCAGTAACTATAGAACTATCTATGTATTGAGGAAATGAGAAAAAATGTGTTTTGAGCTAGAAGGATAGAAGTATGTATCCATATGTGTAAGCATGTATATGTATAGGCATTTTGAGAAAAACATATGTGGGTAATAGAAAGTGTTAAGTGTAACATAAGGGTTGAAAAAAAGAGTGTGGATGTGTGGGTCTACTCTGGGACACAGAGTGAGAGGAGAGAGCAATTGGGCATTGAGAGAAAAAAGCGTAAATAATTGAAGAGAAAGAATGCATGTGTGAGCCAAGGGAGAAAGGGATTTGTGCATTCTACCTCCCCAATCCTGACAATATTTTAAATGTAAACTTTATCTGAAATTATGAATGCAAAAGTGGATTTTAAAATTAAAAATAGGACAAGTGAACTCGAGCTATCTGATGCTAATCAATGCAAAATATCAGCAAAGGCAAATTTTGCTACCAGAAGCCCCTCAGTGAGTCAGAGAACTGGGGAGGGGCATGGGAGAAGAGCACAGGAAAGATGTTTGCTGCTAAAATCAAGGTGAGCATAGAGAGGAACATTCACTGAATAGGTCCCCTAGTTCATTTCCCGGACATTCCCCACATGTAGGAGTTTTCCTAATTTGAAGGGTCTATAGAAATGAAAATTCTAGTCTCCTTTGGTAACTCAATCAAAAGGGTAACAAGGATCACTTTAAAGAAGTTCTAAAGTAAATCTATCACATTACATACTAAGTCCATTTCCTTCTGCTTTGTCCTCAGTGTATCCCTTTGTCTCCTTCTGTCTT